TGCAGCGACTGGCGGTGAGCGCCTTGGGAAGGGCATCGCCACGGGAGTCTGGCGTCTCCTCCACTGTGCCTTTCTCCTGACCACCAGTAATGCTGGGACAGGAAAAATCTACGTTTCGCTTTTTAATTACGTGATAAAAACCTGCTTCCATCTTAAAACTGCCAGCTGATGAGCTCAAGGAACGTCCCAAATTATTGTGTTGAGAAAAACGTGGGGTAATTGGTCCTTGTTCACCATTAAAGCTCGGCTGCACCGTGGCCTCACGAGTTTCAACGACAGTTTTGTTTCTGTTGCACTTTTAGTAATTCCTGACATGATTCATCCCTCGGGACACCAGTTAACACTAAGCCGATGTTCTGGGAGAACTGGCCCTTACTAATTGTTTACTGTTTATTATTTAATTATTATTTATTGTTTATTATTTAATTATCATTGTTCTTTGAAGCTGCAGGGAGGGGGGGAGAGGGAAGGAAGGAACAGAGGACCGGGAAGAGAATGCCAGGATCAGTCTCGGCTCTGCGCACGCGGCAGGCAGCAGACGGACCTCTATCCTTCATTTCGAGCAAGGTCAGGCAACACGAAAAGAAAAATGAATCGCCGAACTGGGAAGGTGGCCCTAGAGAAACAGGGAGCATCAACACAGCTAAGGAAGGATGGGAGACTCACCGGGGGAGCTGCCTGCCTGCCAACACACCCAGGTCACCAAGAATTCAAAGGATACATTTTTCTGATCCAATATTTACTGCTGTGGCAATCGATCCGTCCTGTTCATCCTCGCCAGTGAGGGAATTAAGGAAATATGTAGGTGAGCAGTGAACTTGTGCCTCTGTACAGTCACACTTCACTCTCAAAACATTCCAAAGGACAATCTGCTCACACCACGAGGAAGAAGCTCAACCCTCCCGCAAACGAAGACCAGGTGAGCACAAAGCTCCGTGTTCAGCTCCCTCCTGCTCGAGCGCCACGTACCATTCCCTCCCCTTCAACTTTGCTCTTCAAGGAAGAACTTGTTCTCCAACACTACAAAGAGTTAATTAACTTCAAACTCTCCCACTCTCTACGTACTCTCTCTAAAAAGGAACTTTTCAGCAGATTTTCGTCAGAAAGCAAGAGCTAAATTGAACACATTAACGACCGCGCAGAGTTACCGGGAGATGAGTCACTGCTCTTCTGCACCGCACCTGGACTGGGCAAACCTTCCCCAGCCCAGCACATGTTGGGGGGAGTGTGGAAACGGCAGAGAAACACCCTCAAAGGAGCGTCTGCTCGTGGCACTCCACAAACTAGGAGCTTCCATGCTTTTTTCCATGGAAGTTATTCTGTCATGGAGAAGGAAGACAGAAACATTTCCCCAATTCTCCCCGCTCTACACTGCAGAGCTGGACAGGCACCGTTTTAGGAGATTTTTAAAAAATATTGTCCTTCAAAGCACCAGGTCTCAACTGAGTCAGGAAAAGGATATTCCTCCTCGTCCGTCACGTTGGCATACTGTGCCAGGAGGGCAGCTTTCCTTTGCTTCTCTTCCTGGGACACCTCCTTTGGCTTCACCACGATCTTGGCCTGCTTCTCCATCATGCTGGCGATGGCCTGGATCTCATCTGGCGAGGAGAAGAGGCAGAGCGTCAGGCAGCAAAGTCTCAACCGAGAGACGCCACGCGCCGCCGCTCCCGACACCCGCAGTCCCCAAAAGGCACCGTCCCGCTGCGGCCCGTCCGCAGGAGGCGGCTGTCGCCGGGGACAAGTGTGTCGGGACAAAGGGAGAAGCCTCACCCGAAAACATCCCCCCCCATCCCGTGAGCCTTCTCCCGGGTCACCAGCAGCGCTGCCGACGCTCGGAGCGCAGCGGGACGGCCGCTCTGGGGAACGGGATCTGAGGGCTGAGGAAGCAGCAGCTGCTGCAGAGCCACCCAGCAGGCTGCTCAGCCCAGCGCGGCGCCCGCCGCGTGGTGGGACACCAGCTTCTCCTCCCAAGGAGGAATTCCCCGTCCTCCGCGCAGCCACCGTCAGGCCGTTTCTCCCGGAGCGAGGGAAGTCTCACAATAAACCCTAGAAATCAGTAAGACTCCAGCTAATGAAAATCCATTTTACTCCAAATTGCATTCTCTTCTGGTTAAAAGCAGCTAAATATGTTTATTTATCCACATACTTAAACCCACATCCAAGAGAAATCCTGAAAACCCAAGTGCCGGATCAGTTTAACACTTTTTTTTTCTTTTCTACCTACCGCGGGAATCGGGCAGCTGACTGACCTTTAACGTTGAAACTCTGCTGCCCGATTCTTAAAATGACACTAATTTTTTTTCAGTTTGTTAATAACTTCTCCTCAGCACTCTGTTATTTTAAGTCGATATTGACTCCATTGGGGATTTATCCTTTTATGGAATCACGGTGAAATAATTAAACCCTCGCGTTTCTAACAAGCTGGACACACACTGCTCCCTTCTCGCTGCAACAAGCAAGAAAAATCTCTCCAGGTAACCAGAAGTATGAGCACGGAAAGTCCAGCAGCAGCTCCAGCAATTCCAATCATTTTTCCCCAAAAGTGGGATATATTTTATTCAATGCACGGAATAGCGTAACGGTTCCCTGTCCCCAGCCAAGTCAGGCCAAGGACAGGCTTCCAGGAATTTTTGGAGACAGCCACTGAAGTGCTGCGTGGTTCAGCCACCTCGTCTGTGAAGAGGAGGGGAGTGATATTTGTGAAATGCTGAGGTTCAGACAAGAAAACTATTTCTAGAACGACACCGGCCAGTGACAATATTCTGTTTGCAACCAGCACCAAGAAAAAAAAAAACGCAGAGCAAACAAAAAGCAGGATTTAGCCAAAAGGGATGTGACGTTGTCACGGGTGAGGTGACCGGCTGCTCTGGCGAGGCCCGAGCAGTTGGAGGATCACTGACTGATCCATGCAGGATGTGAAACCAGCAAAATCTTCCCGGCCCACGACTGCACCGTGCCCCAGAGCTCTGCTCAGCCACCGGAAGGAGCAAGACGGAGTTCTGCGCTCCGGGGCCGACAGCTGAAGGCGAGGGAGGAGTTCGGGGGTACACGGAAACGGTGGGGCTACGTACACGCCTGGGGAAGGGGCGGCGTTGGTACGGCAGCAGCAGTCTCACAGCGCTCCCCCACAAGCGTTTATGGAAAAAAAAAACAAAAAAAGGCCAGTTTTAAGAGAAGATTTTGAACAAGGAAAATAAGGATGCTCTCCTATGAGGAAGGATCTTCTCCTGGGTGAGCAGCAGCACATGCACCCCGCAGGTGCAGTGGTATAAAAACATTTGCTTTCCCAGCCAGCAAGAACTGAAGCAGCACGGGTATTTTACACCGAAGTAACGGCACCTGCCACCGCAGTGCCAGCTGCCACCACAGTGCCAGCTGCCACCGCGACATCATTAGCATTTAACGGAGGGAAAGCCCTAGGTGTTTTGCAAAAGGAAAATTTAAAAATCCTACAGGGAAAGGAAAAAGTCAATGTTTCCTCTGCAAGATTCCAAACCCAAAGAGCAGCAGAACGCTAGGGCCAGCAGAAGTGACGCTGCTCATCCTCATTTCGTATTTCAAGACAAACCAGTAAAGATGCAGCAATGGCCATGAGAAGCGAGTCAGATCTGCCAACACGTTAGCAGCGGTGGTTTTAACTGGTACCAGGACGAACACACAGCTCTCATCCCGGCGAGGCCCCGCGAATCGCTCCCACCACGAGCAACGGCGCACGGAGCAGCGACACTACCTTCTTTGTTCTCTTTGGCGTCAACAGTCTGAGACTCAGACCACTTCTCGACTACTTCCCTGCAAACATCGCTCAAGAGATCTTCTTCCTAGTAAGGGAAAAGAGACTTCTCAGTCTTGGAACAGAGTTGGTCCGCTTTAAACAAGCACGAATCAGGTATGAAAAGTACCAGCTGCAAGGAATCCGAGTGATCGGCTCAAGCGACACAGCTTCGCGCGTGAAATCTACCCATTGAACGCGCGCTGGGGTTAACCCGGGACGACACGAGTCGTGCCACGGACTAACCCGGGACGACACCAGTCATGCCATGCACTTCCTTGTCAACAGCTCAGCACGAGAATGCCTCGAACCACCACACAAACGCCAGGTGCCACGGTGCTCTGCACCGCGCCAGACGCCGCTGCCGTTTCCTTTTTCACGCGATGCAGCTCTACCACCACGCGCTGGTTTCACGGCGGCAGGCTGCCGAGGTGCGACAGCCCTACAAACGCCGAAGAACAGCCACCAGCCTATCTTCACTCCAGAGATCTACTGCCCAGCATCCCCTCTCTTCTTGAGATGAGGCTGCGGAGAAGCCACTCCAAGGCCACCTCCGAGCCCATCGCACTAAATTAGGCTGGACAAAACACGGGTCAGGGCCAGCACAGAGCTGGAATCACTTTGGTGGTACAGACAGACCATCTCCTCCCACCAGCAGGGATATTCTTGTCCCACTTGACCTGACTGGAACATAAAACACGATCTACAGAGGTGGCATTCACACTGTTGTTTGCTACTGAGGAAGACTTCCAGCTGTGGGAGAAAGGAAACGCACCCGACCAGCACCAGGGCAGTACTCCCACCGCCAGATCCTTCGCTGGTGTTGCTCCACCATGACTAGCTCTCCCCCCAGTGCCTACGCTCAGCTTCTCAGGGGACTGATCAACATGGTAACCCACGTTCCAGCGGTGGGCAGGAGAAACGCTGCTCCATCACACCTCGGCACGCGCCGTCACAGCCTTCCTGCGAGAACTGCTCAACACCTGAGATCAGGTTACAGAAGCTGAATCCAGGCAAGAAACACCATCCTGATAAAAAAGAAAAGTGTTTCAAAGAGTTACAGCCAGGAGCACTTCCCTGGAAAGATGTACGTGTAAGACACGCAGGAAGTTTCAAATTTTTTTGTATTTATTTTGCTCATGAATACTAAATCGAGTTTGCCCACAGCTTACGAAAAGTCAGCAGCAGAGAGGCAGAGGGGCTTGAGGAGAGCTGATATCAAACAGAAACTAGCTGGCCAGGGACACCTCAGGAACGAGCCAGCTGGGACGGAGATGTCCCATTCCCCTGCACTTTGGCAGGTCTGGGTGGTGCACTGCAGGTGTTAACGCCCAGGCTGGATCCAGCACTGCCTGCAAATCCTTGCGGTCACCCTGCTGTCCTGGGGCAGCAGCTCTGCACTGGAGCAGGGCCACCTCGGGCAGCAAAGCAATGGTGACCTCTCGCTAGAGCCGTTCTGCCAGCCCTGACCACCGCCTACCCTGCCTGTGCCAAAAGCCAGCTCTGAGAGGCAGAAAGGCCCCTCAATTCTGCCTTGGAAAGAATCTCTTACATAGGTGTGTAGGAACCAGACCTCTGCCATCTGCCCCTTTCCCACCTTCCACAGCCAGGTGTGCAGTAACTGGCATTTCAAAGATGAGCACACCAAATCCCTGCACAGACTTCTCACCAAAAAGACAACAAATTCACGATCCTCCTCTTGAAAACTTGGGCACCAGGTACCTAAAACAAACCACCTTCGAGTTCCAGGACAGACAGTCACTGTGAACGTTACCCATCCAGCACAGCAAAGCTCACCTACATGAGGGACAGCAAAAAAAAAGTTGAGTTCCCCACAACTGTGGGACAGATGAGGAGATAAAAACATACACAAAAATGTGTCCACCTTTTGCTCCAACACAAATAAAGAGCAACTCAGAGCAAAGCCCTCCCACCCCGAGCCTACAACAGCCAAGCACAAAATTCTGCGTGTAACGGGCTGGTGGTGGGGAACCCGCCACGCAGTGACACCAGGGCCCAAAGCAGCCAGGCACCGAGATCAGGAGCACAGTTTGGGCAGCACACACCGTGGAGCGAGGTGCCCAGGCTGAGGAGGAGATGCCACAAGGACAGACACGCAGGGTGCTCGAGGCGATCTGCAAAGAGAAACAGCAGAAGAACAAAGGGTTTGCGGTTCCCACCGACATGAGACTCCGTTTTAGGAAGTCAACGTGCCTTTATCCAGAGTGGATCCAGAGGACAGGACGATGCTGCTAAGCTCAGGTACAAGAGCAGGTGGTTCAGGTCTGGAAGAAGCCACTGACCCCACTGGGAGATGACCCTGGGGATCCTCCCAGGTACACTCCCTGCGTGAGCAGACCAGCAGCGAGGATGACGTGCACGGAAACACAACCCCGAGTGCCAGGCAGAGGGACCCTTCCAGCCCGCAGACACGGAGTTTTCAGTCATGAAAAGATAACGAACATCAGCGTGGTTCAAGGGCATGGAAGACACGAAGGTTTTTAAGTGCCAGAAACACTCATAGTAAAAGGATCCTCCTCAGTGGATGGGCTCCCCTGAGCACGAGCAATACTGGTCCCTGGCATCAAGGCTGGCAAAACAACCAGCAAGTTTCCGTTCGGACAGGAGAGAAGGCTGGGAGAGACATATTCCCTGGACGCCTGGCTTCATGGTGCAGGAGGAAGAAAATCGGGCAAGTGATGACGAAGGAATGGCAGTAAGTGGGAAGGAAACGGAACAGCCAAAGATTTGACAATGACAGCAGAGACCTGTGCAACCTTCTGACGAGGGTCTGAGCAACAAGAAACAAACCAGGTGTTTGTGTGCCAGGGAGGGGAGCAGAACACAGCAGTGAGACGTTTTAGCGATCCCAGAAGCATGACAAAAACCAGCCTTGGAGCTGGAGAGTGTAAGAAACCAAAGAGCAAGATGACAGCACGTGGGCGGACACGAATGAAGCAACAGAACAGAAACACGATGCGGGAGCCCAGGCGAAATTAAACCATCACGGGAGGAAGCAAGGAGAAGTTCTGCCACGCAGGGCGGGCCGTCTGCTCCAGCACCCTTCCGTCTCGCTGCCAGCTGGATGGAAACCTCTAACAGCCCTGACTTCTGTGCCTCTGGGGGCCTTACTCCTCGTGTAGAAGAGCAAACACTACTAAAAGTGGTGTAGTGCAGACAGCTGGGGTGCAACAGCCAGATATTTTCATCCAGTATTCCCCAAACAAGCAAGAAATTATGTTGGTTTAAAGGTTGGTAAACACAGAGAAAAGTTAACTATGGAAAATACAAGTGAATCATGGAATCACGGGATGGTTTGGGTTGGAAGGGACCTCCAAGATCATCCAGTTCCAACCCCCCTGCCATGGGCAGGGACACCTTCCACTACACCAGGTTGCTCAAAGCCTCATCCAACCTGGCCTTGAACACTTCCAGGGATGGGGCACCACAGCTTCTCTGGGCAACCTGCTCCAGTGCCTCACCACCCTCTGAGGGAAGAATTTCTTCCTTAGATCCCATTGAAATCTCCCCTCTCCCAGTTTAAAGCCATTGCCCCTTGTCTGGGTTCTGTCTGGTTTAAAGAGAAGAACTGAACGGAAACAGATCTTGGTTCTACGTTTCTTCATTTGAAATGGTCGCACCTGAACGAACTCAGGGAACTAATGCACGACGTTGTAAGGACTGAGGAACCACGGACACGAGTGCAGATGTCACCTGAAATTCATTTTTGTGAGGGTTGTCAAAAACAAGCCCAAAAATGACCTGGAATTTGTGTACAGATCAAAGAGAAAAGACTGGGCAAGAAAGGCCCCAAACTAACCAAATGAAAGGTTGTTTCAAAATTCAATGCAGATATCAGCATAGTCTACGAGAAAAGACAAAATGCACTGACTAAAAGAAGTAGTGAAAAAGCCTGAGGGTTCACGAGGCAAAAAAGTTTCACAAAAATTGCAGAAAAATCAGCGAGTTTGAACTTGCAAATGAAGCGAAAGCCAGCTGTGCCCGCGACACAGGAAAGAAAACGTGGAGGAGAACAGGGCTGTGGTGCCACACGTATGGGATAGAGCAGGAAAACCCTGCACCGGCTGGCAAACCGCGTGGCAGCGCAGGAGAAGGGTCACTGGGCACTGAAGGGAAAAGGGGAAACGTGAGATGATGCAGCCCACTGCGGGGCACTGCACGGCACGGCACGGCTGCCATGTTCCGCGCTCCGGAGCCGGGAAAACGGGGGGGGGCCCACGGCCCACCTGCCAGTCTGCAGCTGGTGCCGCCAAGGATGGGACCCCGGCTCTGCCGCTGGTGACGGAACGCAGCAAGTGTGGCGATTACGGGCGAGTTGAGGAACCTCAGCTATGTCGGAACGGCTTTTCCAAGGACGTTTGGCTCTGCCCCTAACGCCAGGGCGATGCCCTGTTCGGTTTGCCCGTTGTTTTGGACACCCGGCCACGCTGGCACGGTTAGGCTGCTTTTAGAAACCACCTCACTGCCGGCACCCCAGGCTGGGGACGGGGTGGTGGAGGCAGTGAAGAGGTGCTCTCTTTTTTGGGAAAACCCACTTAAACCGGCACGCAGTCAGCGAACGGCAGGGTGAGGCCACCTC